AAAAATTTTTTAATTCCAGTATAGTTAGCATACAGTGTTACATTGGTTTCAGGTGCAACGTAGTGATTAAACAATTCCATATGTTACTCAGTGCTCATCAAGGTAAGTTAGTCTTCTTTTTTTTTTTTTTTTTAACATTTATTTATTTTTGAGACAGAGAGAGACAGAGTATGAATGGGGGAGGGTCAGAGAGAGGGAGACACAGAATCTGAATCAGGCTCCAGGCTCTGAGCTGTCAGCACAGAGCCCTACGTGGGGCTTGAACTCACGGACCGCGAGACCATGACCTGAGCTGAAGTCGGCCACTTAACCGACTGAGCCACCCAGGCGCCCCAAGATAAGTTAGTCTTTAATGCCCTTCAGCTACTATTTCACCTAGCCACGCCACCCTCCCCCCCACAAATAGAGAACTATTTGTTCTCTATAGTTAAGAGTCTGTTTTTCGGCTTGTCTCTCTCTCTTTTCTCCCCTTTGCATGTTTGTTTTGTTTCTTAACAAATTATGGCTGAATTATTCAGCTATATAAAAGAATGAAATCTTACCATTTGCAACAACATGGATGGAGCTAGAAAGTATAATGCCAAGTGAAATAAGCCCGTCAAAGACAAATACCATAAGATTTCACTTGTTTATCCATTCATCTATCATGGACACTTGTGCTGCTTCCATAGTTTGGCTATTGTAATAATGCTGCAATAAACATAGGGGTGCATGTACCTTTTTGAAATAGTGTTTTTGTATTCTTTGGGTAAATACCCAGTAGTTTGACTACTGGATTATAGGGTAGTCCTATTTTTAATTTTTTGAAGAACCTCCACAGACATCATGTTATTATCATGGGACTTCTGCTAGGATTCAATGAGAAGAACATAGCATCACTTACGTGACATTCCTGGTAAAGATGAATAACCTGAATTTAATCATAAGGAAACATTAGACCAACCTAAAAGGAGGACATACTATAAACAAACAGCCCGTAATCTTCAAATTGTCAAAGACACGACAATCAAGGAAAGACTGAAGAGTTTCTTAAAGATCCCTTGTTGCAGAGTAAAGAAACAGCAGTTGTTTTACACAAACTACTTGTCCGGTTTTCAGTTTCTTTAAAAAACACTATGTGGGATGCCTGGGTGGATCAGTCGGTTAAGCGTCCGACTCTCGATTTCAGCTCAGGTTATGATCTCACAGTTGGTGGGTTTGAGCCCCTCATTGGGCTCTGCGCTGACAGTGTGGAGCCTGCTTGGGATTCTCTTTCTCTCCCTCTGCCCCTCCCCTGCTTGCTCCTTCTCTCAAAAATAAATAAATATTTAAAAAAAAACACTATGTGAGTTTTTCAATGAGATTTTCTAAATAAACATGGTTCATAAGTGTTCAAGATTTCTGGAATTTGGTTACAAAATGCATCACAAAAATTTTATAACATTTTATTTTATTTTATTATTTTTTTTAAATATGAAATTTATTGTCAAATTGGTTTCCATACAACACCCAGTGCTCATCCCAACAGGTGCCCTCCTCCATACCCATCACCCACCCTCCCCACCCTCCCACTCCCCATCAACCCTCAGTTTGTTCTCAGTTTTTAAGAGTCTCTTATGTTTTGGCTCCCTCCCTCTCTAACCTTTTTTTTTTTTTCCTTTCCCTCCCCCATGGTCTTCTGTTAAGTTTCGCAGGATCCACTGATGAATGGACAAAATTTCATAACTTTAAGAGAGTTAAATGTCCTACTTATATAGAAATTTTTATATTAAAGTAAATTTTATCATTTAATAGGAAATTAGAGGGTATATATATCCAGAAATGTTAATAGCTATTCCATGGGAAGTAATGGGGAAAGAGTGATCTATTCCATTAAGTTCTACAGTGTATACAGGTCACATGTTTTACAGATTTTATATGTAATATTTCTCCTCTAAAGATTGAGCTGTATTAGACAAGAATAAACAGGGAAATTACCAGCTAAAAGTTTCAAGTTGCCCCCTCTATATAGACAACTTCCATTTTGAGAATACCAGCAGAAACATTTATAGACACTTCTAATTCTGTGGCTTTATCCTATTTCTCCAATTTTTATCCAATTTTTAATCTTGGACACAGAAATAGATAAGAAGGGTAGAGCAAAACAAAACAAAATGAAACAAAGAGCTATTTGAAGATTTGCTGATCAGTTATTAGCTAATGTTTGAATTTAGAATTTTCTCCCTTTTTAAAAGAAGCTAAATCTGCCTTTCTTCTTCCATATGGCCATCAGCTCAGCAATCATCTCCTCAGGCCAGGTGGCTACCAACATGTGTTCAGAGAGAGTCATTTTGTATAAGCCTACCCTTGCAGAGAATAATTTGTTCTTCCTGCTTGAAGAAATTTATTTCTGGCAGCAGTTTCTGCCTCCTCATTACTTTCCTCATTCTCATTTGCTGGGCTTAACCCATTACATTTTATATTTTCTACCTATCCCTATTGCTGTACTTCACTCATATATATTGGAACTTCCTTATAATGTCATCCTCAGGTTTCTTAAATTCTAGAAATTATCACGTCTAACTCCTTCATTTTACAAATGAGGACCCCTGAATCTATTGAGGTTCAGTAACTTGTCTTTGGTCCTGTGACCATTAAGTGAAAGATCCAGTATTGGAACCCAGCTCTCCTGACCATTGTGTGGTGTTTTTCCTCTATAGAACATGATTTTATATTATAAAATTTTCCCACTTTATAAGTGGAAACCATCTCATTGTGCCCTTTGAAATTCCATTCTTTGGATGCAGTCTAAGACAAGTAGTGTAGTTTAATGTCAAGTTTGCAGAAGATGTAGTGAATGAAGAACACACGACAATTGATAAACTTAGGTACATTTGAAGATAAACGAATATAATAATTTTTTAAAAGGTTGAAGAACTTAACTAAACCTGATCATTCTTTCTTTCACTTACTACACACTTTAAGAATTGGAAATCTAATATGCAAGAGTCACCAGATAAATCCTTAAACCCAGTAAAACGCAAAATCATTTATACTAGAATCTAATCAAATGGATGAGGAAACTTATTATACTAGAATAAGAATTTTAGTAGCTTTTTATTGGGAAGTTTGATCAGAAGAGAAAAATGTAGTATAGGACAAAAAAAGTCATTAAGGAGAATTTAGTGGTTAAGTTAGTAAATTCAGGAGAAACTTGCAAGCCAGACCGACTTGAGAGGTGAATCGGACCTTGTAGAGGCAGAAAGATAAAACAAGAAGAGAAAATAGGCAGAATTGAGGAATGCTTTGGATTTTTTTAACCCCAAGAGTGAGGGTAGCTAGGCACATGGAAGGAATCTAACTAGATAAGAGTTAAGGTCTTGGACAAAGCATTCTACAACATAATACACTCCTGATAGCTCTGATATTTTCTACACTTCCCACCAACAAGGTACGAGGGTTGCAACTTCTCTACATCCTTGTCAACACTTGCTATTTTTCTATTTTTAAAGTATAGCCATACAACATAAGTAACAAAAGCAAAAGTAAATAAGTGAAGTACGTTGAACGAAGAGGATTCTACACAGCAAAAGAATCAATCAACAAAATGAAAAGGAAACCTACAGAATAGAAGATTTTTGCAAATCCTATATCTGATAAGGGGTGAAAATCCAAAATATATAAGGAACTCATGCACCTAAACAGAAAAAAAAAATTAAAAATGGGCAAAGAAACTGAATTTTCCAGAGGCATGCAGATAACCAAAAAGTGCATGAAAAGATGCTCAACATCACTAACAATTAGAGAAATGCAAATCAAAGTCACAATGAGATGTCATATCACACCTGTCAGAGTTGTTGTTATCAAAAAGACAAGAGATAACAAGTGTTGGCAAAGATGTGGAGAAAAGGGACCCAGTGTGCACTGTCGGTGGGAATGTAAATTGGTACAACTACTATAAAAAACAGTATGGACGTTTCTCAAAACATTAAAAATAGAGGTGTCTGGGTGGCTCAAGTCAGTTGAGCATCTGACTCTTGATTTTGGCTCAGGTTGCGATTCCATGGCTGTGGGATCGAACCTGCGTTGAGTTCCATGATGAGAGCTGAGCATGGAGCCTGCTTAAGATTCTCTCTCTCTCCCTCTGCCCCTCTCCCTCACTTGTGCCCTCTCTCTTTCTCTCTCAAAACAAATAAAAAACATTAACAAAACAGAGTTATCATATTGTCCAGCAATTCCACTTCTGAGTATCTAATGGAAAGAGATGAAATCACTATCTCGAAGAGATACCTGAATCACCATGTTCATTGCAAAATTATTCACAATAGCCAAGGTATGAAAAAAAACCTAACCATCAGTGAATGAATGGATAAAGAAAATGTGATTCTCACACACACACACACACACACACACACACACACACACACAGGAGTATTAGTCATCCATGAAAAAGATAGAGTGCTGCCATGGATGGATCTTGAAAGCATTATGCTGAGTGAAATCAGACAAAGAAAGACAAATACTGTATGATATCACTTATATGTGGAATCTAAAAAAGCCAAACTGAGAATGTAAAATGGTGGTTCTTAGGGGATGGGGTTGGGGGAAATGGAGGATTGTTGGTCAAAGGGTATAAACTTGTTATAAGATGAATAAGTTCTGTGGATCTAATGTACAGCATGGTGATTATAGTTAACAATATTATATACTTAAATTTGCTAAGAGAAGAGATCTTACATGGTCTCACCACAAAAAAGAAATGGTAATTATGTGAAGTGATAGAGGTGTTAACTAATGCTGCTGTGGTAATCATTTCAGAGTATATAAAGATATCAGATCAACACATGTACACTTGAAACTTACACAATGTTATATGTTAATTTTATCTCAATAAAACTGAAAAAATTATAGCCATTCTAACAGCCATGAAGTGGTGTCTTGTGGCTTCAAAATGAGAGTTTTAACTATGTATGACATAGTACTGGAAAACTTGAAACCAAGTTGTTACCACAGTTTTAATGAGAAAATTCTTATCTTTTTACCTTTCTTTATAGATTCTTTTTCCATTCCCTCCTTGTATGTGTACAAGAGTTCATCAACTTCATTCAGATCCAGGAAGCCTGAGCCATCACTGTCCCACTTCTGAAACAGGGCTTCTAGGAGAAGTTCCCGTCGGACTCTGGAAGCATTATGTCTAATCTAGGATAGAAACCGGATAACAAAGCACAGAAGACACACTATTTATTGTGCTAGCTGCCATCCTAGGTTTATTCCCCCCAAAGTGAAGCACTATTTCTAAAAACAGCTTTATTGAAAAAACTTGGACTAAGCATGATATTAATGGTAAAATGAAGCATTTAATGTTAATACTCTAAATACTATTTCTCTGTTTCACCTCTAGACCAAAAACAAAAACAAAAACAAAAACAGGCATTCTCTGCATTGGACTAAAACACATTAACTTAGAAAGGGGGCCACACTCCTTAAGAATCTTTGATTCATTCCTTTCCACTCCCTTGCTGTTTGCTCAGGAATGTGATAAACATATGGTATGCTTGACCTGGCTTCTTGGGGGGTGGGGAGGGGGATATGCTATGTAGTTAAGGAGGATGAGTGGCAGTGTTCAAAAAATGAAAAACAACCATGTTCAAAAATTACTTTTTATATTTAACATTGACCTAACTGGACGTTGGTTTTATTTACCTTTTAGATTTTTTACTAGATTAATTATAATATCAGTCAGACAGTAACTATTATCGGGGTGCCTGGGTGGCTCAGTCTGTTAAGCATCCAACTTCTGCTCACGTCATGATCTCTCATGGTTCATGAGTTTGAGCCTCTCGACCGTGCAAAGCCTGCTTGGGATTCTCTCTCTGTCCCTCTCTCTCTCTGCTCCTCCCCAACTTGTGTGCTCTCTCTCAACATAAATACATAAACTTAAAAAAAAATAGTAACTATTATCCAGATTTAATCACTAAAAGAAAGTGAATATATAGAGTTTGTTTAAAAGGGGGAACTGCAATTGAGGAGGCAAAAGGGATATCAACTCTAGAATTAGGTTGAGAAGACTCATGAGGCTGATGGATATGCCTGGAGAATGTAATTTACATATTTCACAAAAGAGCACATAAATTGTTTATATCAGCTAACATGTATGCATTTATCTATCACTCAAGTAAGTAGTAAGTTTTTAGGAAATATGTAATACCTGGATTCACATGAATAAAAATATATATTCAAATCATAATTGTACTTCTAGGTATGTACACTTGTAAATGCATTCACAAAGCAGATAAACAGTGCACACACACACACACATTTTTGCACATACACATATGTGGTCCTCAGAATCTGCTCTGCAAGCTTCAGAGGAGGAAAAACAAAGCTGTACAATAAACCATCTCTTGACACCAGCAATCATGTTATTATTAGGGGAATTAATTCTCTGGAGTGTGATCTTGGACCATTTGACAATAAAATAAAATATGTAATGGCTATGCTCATTGAAATAAGATGATAAGTTTGATTGTAAATTTTTAAAAAGCCACATTAGGAGTAACTGAGGTTAGAGATTTACTAATAATAGTAACCTCACCTGTTTTATTTTTTTAAGTTCATGTATATATTTTATTAAAGAATTAAAATTTTTTAATGGATACAGGTTAAAATTTTTAAGTTTATATATATATATAACTAAAGAATTAAAAAATTTTAAACAGATGCATCAGGTGTATTGATGCTTTAAAGTTGTATAAAAGCAATGGGAAGGGGGCCAACAGAAGAACTGCTTATTGGGGTAGAGGCAGCATCAAAGAACTCCTGAGCCCTGTGGAGACTGATGTAACGTCACTTTGCTGAGGATCCTGACTACAGACTGAACTGTAAAATGTAGACCAGCTCTCCAGGCTGAGGAGCAGGGGAGGCAGGGCCAGGTGGCCCTTACCTCTTCGGTATAGATGTCTAAGGCAGAGGCCAGGGCCTGGGCTGTGTGCTCTATCTAGTAAGAAAGCCTCCATGAGGATCCTAGAGCCCAAGGTTGTAAAAGGAAGTGAAGACCTTGCATTCATATGATCCTCTCTGCCATCTCCAATGCCAAAGGGACCCAAGGTAGCTGAACATATTTAAGACTTTGTCACCCAAGTTTAAACAAATGAATGTTAGTTATAAATGGTTCCTCTACTGTACTTTGCCATTTGGAAGGTCAATCCCTAGAACTGGAGATTCTTTCAGGTCACCAAGAAGGTGCTGGTATCAGCTAGCATACATTGTTTACTGGGAGGGCATCCACTCTTGAGGTCTCTGTCAGCCCTTGGGACATGACCTCGGTCCCCTGGCACCTCAGGGGTCTGATTCTTTCATCTGACTTGATAAACCAGCTGCTGTCTTAGAAGCTCCTTCTGCCCTGCTGACACTATCCTCAGATGTCCCCAAGGACTAGCCAGGTACTCCAGCCCCTGTTCCAAAGCATTCCTTCTCAAAGCACTTCACAGCATGGCAAACCTCCTGCTGGCTCTTACACCTCTACAATTGGCTCTCAGGGGCTTTGTCTGACAGTCCTTTCCCTGCTTCCTAAGTATTAGTATTCCTGAGGCTCAGCTCTCTGCCCTCCTTTCATGCATGCTTCCTCGGAGACTTATAAATCAAGGTATTTAAAATGGGGACATTTTATTAACAACAGTTAATAGTAGACTCCTTATGAGTCTACCAGGGATGCAACAAAGGCAATCTTTCCCAGGAGCTTGGGGAAGCTGCTAGAGCATCAGGTGTTCCTGCTAGAGACAGTTTTCAAGGTCGTGCCTCATGTATACACCTCCTCCACCTGCTCCCACGCAGTTCTGAGGCATTAACTCAGGGACTGTCTCAGGGGCCTGAGGGCTAACCCAATTTTGTCAGGCAAAAGGAGGGCTGGGAGCACCTGGGTGGCTCAGTCAGTTGGGTGTCCAACTTCAGCTTGGGCCATGATCTCATGGTTCATGAGTTCGAGCTCCGCATCGAGTTCACTGATGTCAGTGCAGAGCCCACTTTGGATTTTCTGTCCACCCCCCTCCCCCCAGCTCTGCCCCTTCCCTGCTTGTGCTCTCTCTCTCAAAAATAAATAAATCTTAAAAAAAAAAAAATAAGGCTGAACAGAAAGGCCTGCAGCACCTGGCCTTGTTTTTTGTCCTCTGCTAGGTTTGGTGGTCCCTTACCAAGCAGTCACTGCTTGCAGCTGGGGTGATCATTGGTGCCAGTTGGCCCTTCTCACCTCTACTCCCAAGTAGGAAGGTAACTTCCTCTTTCCAGGCACCTTCCCGGGGACTGGGAATGGGAAAATTCCATCATTCAGTCTGGTTATGAAGCTCAGTTTTAAAAAGTTCTGAACCATAACAGGCAGGAATGAACCAGAGCACATAAAGCCACTTTACACAACTTCTGTATGCTACTGGAGGGGTGGTCAGAGGAGTGGCAGCAGGGGCCTCTGCCTCTCCTTACAAGGGCATCCCTGATCACCCTTACCACTCTCATGTCCTTCACCCAGCCCTGCCCTGCAAAGCATTCCAGACTTTTGGAGATCACTGCCAATGCTTGAAAAGCCCAGACAGAACTGAAGACAAGAGCCTGGGTATCTGAGGTCATCTAGTCACCTCTCATTGGTGGGGACCCTCACTGTCTTTGCTTCCAACAGCTCTGAATACACCAGAACTCATTTATTTAACAAGGGCTATGGGTCTGCACAGGCTTCATCGGTGACTCATGCATATCTGCCCCCACTGTCCCATGAGATGATGACATGGCATTTCTGTCTGTCTCAGCACCGTATGCCCTAGGAGTGTGCTGTCTGTTAGGGAAGATGGGGCAGATAAAAATAAGTTAAAAGGCGCTCATTATCCAAAAAGAACTGAGACCTGAAAAGGCTTCTCTGAGTCAACCTACTTAAAATGGAGACCAGAGTGGCATATAATAAATGGTAGAAAAGGTTTGATTGGAACTTCTTGCAAAATAAAACTACTACTAAACCTAGTATCGCTTAACAAAATGTAATTGCAATATGGGATAATTCGTAGAACAAAATATTTTAAGTATATTTCCTACCTAAAATTATATGATTGCCCAATAGGACACCATTTCCATAGGGCAATCAGTCATTTTTGCAAAAGTTAGTCAAGGACTTCCTCAGTTTTCCTGAAGGCCTCTCTCTCTCTCTCTTTTTGTTATTTACATTTAAGTTAGTTAACATGAAGTGTAGTCTGGCTTCAGGAATAGAAAGAACGCAGTGATTCATCTCTTGCATATGACACCCAGTGCTCATCCCGAAAAGTGCCCTCCTTGACACTTGTCACCCATTTAACCCACACCCCCGGCCCCCCACTCCAGCAACCCTCAGTTTGTTCTTTGTATTTAACAGTCTCTTATGGTTTCCCTCCCTGTTTTTATCTTATTTTTCCTTCCCTTCCCCTATGTTCATCTGTTGAGTTTCTCAAATTCCACATGAGTGAAATCATGGTATCTTTCTCTGACTGACTTACTTTGCTTAGCATAATACCATCCAGTTCCATCCACACTGTTGCAAATGGCAAGATTTCTTTATTTTTTCATTGTCGAGTAGTATTCCACTGTGTATATATACCACATCTGAAGGCCTCTCTTTATCCATTATCTCATTGATACTCAAATCACCCCCATGAAGTACCTACTTGGTTCCATGAAGCTCTTCATTTGTTAATGGACCTGACTCTCAGATCCTCATTTGCCAATGACTGCAATCATTTTGAGCACTTTTGCAATAACACTTTCATGGCTTTATGAAATTCTAGGTTTTAAAACTTAAATTTTACTTTGACACCATTTTGTTGCATTGTCAATATCAGAAGTTTACAACATCCCACAGTCGTAAGTATGAAATGGGCTATGATGGATGGATGGTGTTAGGTAGGGAGGTGTTAAAAGAGACACTAGGCTTGTTCTAAGCCCCATGTCAGTAAATCATGGCTTAATAATTAACCTAAGTGCACCTTCGGCTCCCCAGGCATAACCTTTAACCAGTCATCATGGAAATACCCAGTCAGCACTAGTGAGATAATCCACTTGATAGACCCCTTCTGTTCCTGTTAGAAAGGCGACCTTCCTGGAATAATGCATTCTTTAGTAATAATTTGCCTTCCCAGCCCCATTTCTGCCTTTTAAAAAACCCTGCAGCCCTTCAGAGCTCCTTTCTATTGCTGGATGAGATGTTGCTGAACTCATGAGTTGTTGAATCAAGCCAATTTGATCTTTAAAGTTACTCAGTTGAATTTTTGTTGTTTAATAATATCTATGTGGAAAGTAATTTTTTAAATGGTCAGTTGTTTGGAGAATACTTTTCATGTCTGATGACTTTAGCTTTCCTCTACAACTTTATTATTTTTTAAAATAAATTTTTAAAGTTTATTTTATTTATTTTGAGAGAGAGAGAGAAGAGAGCACACAGCAGGGAAGGAGAGTGAAGGAGAGAGAGAGAATCCCAAGCAGGGTCTGCACTGTCAGTGTAGAGCCTGATGTGGGGCTCAAACTCATGAACTGTGAGATCACGACCTGACCCGAAATCAAGAGTCAGACCCTGAACTGACTGAGCCACACTGGTGCCCCTCCTCTACAACTTTAGAGGAACTTGGATACTGAGATACTTAGAATGGCTCAAAGGAGCTCAAAGGCTCTCTCTGACCAGAGAGCCTGCCTTTGAGGGGCAGCAGTGACTTCAACTGATGGTAGTACTGGGTCAGCACGAGTCAAGTCAGGAGGGCAGGTTTGGGAAACTGAGCTGGAGTGCATGGGTTAAAAGAGTCCAAGAAAGTCTATTTCAGGTTAAACACTGTTCTCAATTCTATAACTTTTAGGGTTTCTGACAAGAGAATTGAAGAAGATGATAATAGTTAAGGTTTATTATGGGTCAGGCACTGTTTAAGTACTTGAATTAACACATTTAATTCTCCTATCAACCTGGTGAGGTCAGTACAATTATATCTTCATTTGAAAATAAGGCAACTGAGCCAGCATTGCTGTTAAGGCTCTGGCACAAGCCTTAACTGTCACACAGCAAAAAAGCAGCAGAACCATGGTTTGAGTCTAGGTGCTCTGCCTCCAGAAGCCATACTCCCAACCACTGCCCTATCCAGTCTCTCCTTAGTCAAGGCCAGCTAGGAGTGAGGGCTAGGAGGATTAAGTGGGAAAAACAGTAAGAGGCCACGTGCAGGATAAAAGGCCTAAATAAATCAGAGTGGAGAAGGCTGAGGAGCAATTCCAAAGGGACCCTTAATGTATTAGTGCTGTTACATCTGGATTTATTTCCAAAATCCAGAACCATATTACATTATGCATGAAGCAGTCCCTGTTGCAAGAAAGAATTCGCTCACTCAGTGCAATTTTCTGAATTTCTTAGGAGGAGCTCCCCCACTCAACTGCAAGACTTCCACCTCTAACACAGAGACAAATCTGCATTTAAGATCATTGGCAGCAGACACTGACTCCATCAGGGGTCAAGACAACTTCAGCCTGAAGAAGCTAGAGCCTGGGGTCTGTCTATGTGTGTGTAGCCCTAGGCTGCTCTGACCCAGGGATTGTGGGACCTGTGTTTGATCCCCCTTAATTGCTTATTTAGGGTGTGACCTTGACCATCTACTCTGCTTTAATTTCTCATCTGCAGGGATGTTTGTCCAGTCAACTCACAAGGCTGTTGTCGTTCCGACCTCACCTGTTTTATTGGTAAATAATATTACTCACCTGTTCTAAGCCACTTATTTTCTCCTCTTTTGTTTCAACATAGCCCCTCTTAAAAAAGGATGTGAGGGTCTCACTGACACTCAGGGGGGCATCTTCACCAACAAATGTCTCCAGAAGTTGCACAAACTGGAGCAGATTGAAGGAAACTCCATTGAAAGCACTCCCACCTTTTACTTCCTTGTAAGACTGAATATTTCTGATAGCTGCATGTAGGTCTATTAAGCAAGAAACATACAACAAACAGTAAAGTGAACAATTTCTTAAAGCTTAGAGAAAATATACGAGTACTTATTGTAATAAACATCTGCTACTTTTTCCTGTTAGGAATCCATGCTCCCTTCATGAGGAAAACATCTCTTCCCCACTGTCAGTTCAGATTAATCAGGTAGCACTCAGCCTCCCCCACCCTCGTGACAAGAATGACTACGTGACATAGGTCTGGCCAATGGTTTCTATATGACAGCAATGTAATCCACTACATATGCCAATGAGAATGAGCCCCAGAACTTTTTTTGGGAACTATTGGGGAAGAATCACTCTTTTTGTATTCTGATTCCTGAACTAGTAGGATATAGGCTTAGCAATACTCTTACAAATATATCTGCCACAACATGAAGAAAACTACCTAAAACTGAAAGTTACACAGAGAGGAACGGGGATGAGAAGCAAAGATGGTGTCTCGCTGCTATTATTGAGCCCTTGGATTCATTTGTGTCTGAAGCCAGCTGTAGTCTGGACTTCACAGTTAAACAAATCGATAAATACCATTACAACCTCTCCCCCAAAGAGTCTTGACTAATATATTTATCTTCAAGCTCAATGTTATGAAGCATATTTCATAAAATATCAGCCCAGTGACTTATGTTTGATTTATTCATCGATTCAATCATTCATACCCTCATGCCTTCCATATGAGATTGACATGACTTGAAAATAATCACCAATGCAATTTTTTAGGTCATAAAGCAAAACTGAAATAAAGAAGACCAGAAGAAGAATATGAACTAGTATAGGCCACAAGAGCTTGACCAACGCCATGCATTTTTACCAAAATATTTTGAGGATAGGAAGTTTGTTATTTGACCCAGGCTTAAATGAGAAAAAAAATTGCTGATAGGAAGAAAACAATCTTAATATAATTAGTAATCAAATATACTGCTTGTTGATGAAAGATAAAATGATAAAATAGCATTGTAGTAATATGAGTACTGGTTGGAATAATCATTGTTTAATACATGGTTTATTTGAGAGCTAAAAGTTACTCTTTGCTCTCTCTGTTGTTGAGTAGATCTTTCTTTATAAGTCTTCAAAAACATGACATATTCTCACCTGTCTGACATGTTGAGTTATGGGACTACCAGGGAGAGGAATAGCTGGAATGATTTCCACTGAGTTCTAATATCCAATATCTGATTCCTTTTGTACACCTGTATCATAGCTTCAAAGAAGTTGTAGGGCCATGTATTGGTCAAAACACATTATATACTAATGCATATGACTTAAGGCAGAAAAGCATTTATCAATAGCACATGCCTACATGTACACTACCACCAAAAACATCCACCTTGTATATATTTAGATCCATCAATTCAGTGACAAAATAATGCAAGAATCATCCTGCCATTGTGTCTTGGCTAAGTTCATGGGGTACCACAGTAAATTAAATTCATCAACTGGACTGCCATCTATCCTTTCTAATTTGGTTGCTGACATGTACCTGTGAACCTGGAGCTACTGTAGAGTAAGTTTGCTTGTTCTTCTTCTTCACATTTGATATAATCCATATTCCAGTTACATGTCAAAAGTTCACCTAAAAAATATACATTCCATACATGGACGATTTAATTTCACTTTCATAATGTTTTTGTTCTAGAGTATAAATGAAAGGAGGATTAAATGAGGAGTCACCTGACCATGACTTTCCTTCTATTTTTTGGGACTTTTCACAAGATGGATCTTTCTGAACTTCCTTTTTTGTAGTTTCTAAAAGGTATAAGAGAAAGTACCATAATGAACTGGAATTTAAATAAAAACTTGAAAAAAAAATAAAAGGCCTTTGAACTGGACATTATATATTCTATGATAAATTCCTAAGTTAATAAATGAGAAAAATGCTTTGCATACAGACACTAATGCTTTGCATACAGAACACTAAAAACTTTCTATCAGATAATTTCGCACATATGTTATATCACACTCACCATAATGATATCACTTAATAACTCTAGTTGTTGAGAGCAGCTCTATGACAAAAGCTATTCCTGGTACCCAAATCTGGCCACTCAATATGAGGGCTACATTTCCTAGTCTCTGTCACAGCTAGGTGTCATCAAATGTCTAAATTCTGACCAGTGTCATGTGTAAGCAAGTGATGTAATGCCTATCCCTTCTTCTTTCTCCTTACCTTCTGGTCAAAATGTGGATATGTTAGTGAGCCATCCTGGACTATGTGGTTAGGGGAGACACAAGATAGGACTTGAGCCATTGCTGATTTCATGAGGCTGAGCTGTCACATGACTTTTATATCAGAAGGAAAGAAACTTCTATGCTGTTTATACATTGCTATTTTGTTTTATTTTTATGTTTTTTTTTAGACACTGTCATTTTGAATCACTGCTACACATAGCCAAAATCAAGTCATCACCAATAACATCTAATTGAATAGTAACTTCACAATTTTTCTAGCTGCATCCCTCCTACATAAGGAGAGCCAGAAATTAGTGGCCCTTTTTGTGAAGAAATAAACATCATGCTGAAAAAATGAGAGATTTCAGGTTAGTTAGTGATAATGCAGAAACTACAACACAGGTTACTCATTTCTTAGGAGTTTTTTTTTTTTAATTGTTTTTCAACGTTTATTTATTTTTGGGACAGAGAGAGACAGAGCATGAACGGGGGAGGGGCAGAGAGAGAGGGAGACACAGAATCGGAAACAGGCTCCAGGCTCTGAGCCATCAGCCCAGAGCCTGACGCGGGGCTCGAACTCACAGACCGCGAGATCGTGACCTGGCTGAAGTCGGACGCTTAACCGACTGCGCCACCCAGGCGCCCCCTTAGGAGTTTTAAATAAGGATTTTCTTTGGGACTGTGGGACTTTAAAATTAAAGAGCAGAAGTTTAAAAATATTCTGCTTAACTGAGGTCTTAAGCAGTATTGAGTTTGGCTCTCTAAGTTAGATTTTAAAAAAAAAAAGACATACATTGGAATAGGTAATTCAGAGGAAAAGTCTTTTGCAGAATAAATATTTGAAATGCAGGGTGCTTTCTGTCTTCAATGTAACCTTCAGAAATGTTTCTAGAACATATATCTTATATAACTGAAAAAAGCAAGACCCATTTTATAGTCGAAACAAAAAAAATTTTAGGGGTATCTGGGTGGCTCAGTTGGTTGAGTGTCTGATTCTTCTCTTGATTTCTGCTCGGGTCATGATCCCAGGGTCATAGGATGGAGCCCTGTGTTGAGCTCTGCACTGAGCATGGAGCCTGCTTGGAATTCTCTCTCTCCTTCTTCCCCTATCCCCTGCTCACACACACTTTCTCTCTAGAAAAAAATTTTAAAAAAGAAATAAAAGACATTTTTAAAAGTGGATTCTAATATTACACGCTACATTTAAAACTAAAGGGCTTCTACTGCCTTTTCAGGAGTCCAGTGAAGCTTTCTATATGTAACATCACCAGATTACTTCTTTATGAATGGGCTTCCTGTGCAAAAGGAATTCTAGGTAAATTGAAAACAGAAACATTCTGGTTTGCATTTAATTGATTGTTCAAGGCCTAGATGCATATTCAGTAGCAAAATATGTCTAAGGTTTGATTGATCTGATATGCCAGAAAAAATGCTAATTGAAATGATTATTTTCTGAAAAGACTTTAACAATCATTCCACAAAACAGGGAACCAATGTCATAGAAAAACTGCATTACTACCTGAAAGATGATATTTTCTTCTTGATATTGGAACCTCCTCTTGCAGTTCAGGACTCACAAATAGTTCCTCTTCATATATTTGCTCCTGAGTCCTCTTTTCCTGTGGGAGGATTTCAGTATGTTCAAAGGAAGCAGACTCCCTAGATTTTCTACTTTCTCTAAAGATACTACCTCTTCCTGACTGTAAAGTTGAATCTATGTCCTGTTGTTTTTCTGGAATTATCTCTCCAGATGGTTCTTGTTCCGCACGTGACCCTTTGTGTGGTTCTTGTTCTGTTACTGACTCTCTGTGTGATTCTTGTTCTGAGATTGACCTTCTGTGTGGTCCTTGTGCTGCTATTGATTCTCTGTGGCGTCCTTGTTCTGCAGTTGATTCCATGTGGACTCCTTGTTTTGAAGATGATACTCTTTGTGGTGGTCCTTGTTCTGTTACTGAATCACTATGTCGTCTTTGTTCTGTTATTAACTCTCTACTTGATCCTTGTTCTGGAGTTGACCCTGTGTGGATTTGTTTTGTTACTATTTCTCTGTATAGTTCTTTTTTTCCAATAGACTCTTTGTCTTGTTCTTGTTCTTTGGTTGAAATTCTGTTTGGTTCTTGTTCTGCTGTCGTCCCTCTCTGTTGTTCTGGTGGTGTTGATTCTGTATATTCATCATGTTTATGTTGATCTTCTGGAGTTTCTAACAATGTGCTTTGGGTTTTGCTAGCATGTTTTTCAGAAAGTAATGCATTTATCTCTAAGAGCACTTTGTCAAAGTCTTCATAAATATGTTTCTGATTATCCATGTCTCCCCAGAACTCAGGCAAGTCTATCTCTTCAAATTCAATGAATGGCCCTAATGCAGAAAACAAAATATTTACTTAAACAATTGATCTTATAATGCAGAATCAGAGCCAGTAAATTAATGCAAAACAGCATTGATGACAGTAATTATAACATAGGCTTATTGTTTTAAATAAATAACAGCTTTCCCTCCAACACAAGAGGCAAAAAGATATTCAAAGGAACATAAAAGATGTTCACTACTGTAAGTTAGAAATCATCCCTTCCTAAAAGGTGTGGCTTTGGAAATGAACATGATTCTTCTTTTTCTACTTGCAGAGTTGCTTAAAACTGCCAAGACAAATAGAATTTATCCAGATTTGAAGGGGTACACGCACACCAATGTTTATAGAAGCATTATCAACAATAGCCAAACTATGAAAAGAGCCCAAATGTCCATTGACTGATGAATGGATAAAGAAGATGTGGTATATTTACAATGGAATATTACTCAGCCATCAAAAGGATGAAATCTTGCCATTTGCAATGACATGGATGGAGCTAGAATGTATTATGCTAAGCAAAATAAGTCAACCAGATAAAGACAAATATTACATGATTTCATTCATATGGAGAATTTAAGAAACAAAACAGATGAACACATGGGAAGGGGGGAAAGAAAAGAAAAGAGGGAAACAAATCACAGGAGACTCTTTAACTATAGAGAACAAACTGAGGGTTTGTTGATGGAAGGCAGGGAATGGGCTAGATGGGTGATGGGTGTTAAGGAGTGCACGGTGTAAGTGAGGAAACCAATATTACACTGCTTGTTAACTAAATTTTAATAAAAATTAAAAAAGAATTTATCTACTCTTGGTCCTTCCACAATAAGCACAGCATAGGGATTAAGGGGAGGACACATGTCTTCCACCTCAAATACCTTTTCAATATCTGCAATATCAAAATAAGGCAAGTCTCTATCCATGACTATCATTCCCTGGACTATGTTTTCCCAATATTAATTTCCCCCCTTTCTTATCCTCCACCTTTCTTTCTTTTTCATTCCTTAATTCCTTTTCTCCTCAACTTATATGAACACCTGTTTCATAAATCTAGGGAAAGATTAGATAGCATTCACCAGAACTCCACTTAAACACCACCATCACCACCACCACCACCACCACCACCACCACCACCAACAACAACAACACAAACCTGGTGTCCAGGACCACTCTCTGTAGTGGGATTCATGACACAAAACTGTTCCTTTCTCACCCAAAATAGCCACGCTATAAAAGTGTGATTCCACAGTTTTCAGGATTACTCTATATCACCCATAGATTTTTAAATATCCGACTAGTTTTACATAGAACTAAAATATTGACATTCTTTGGAAAACCCATCAATTTAGAGCCTTTTTTCTTTAAAAAATAAAAATAAAACCCATAATTCTATTTGTTTTGGTAGTAACATAAAAAACATATTTTACTGTATTATTTCATAAAGGCATACAAGTAAAAATGCTTGGGAGAAGAAAACCTAGAAATGTTAGAATTCTAAGTTAGAAATAAAACTAGAGAAGGATTCTGAGGGAAGATGGCGGCGTAGGAGGACGCTGGGCTCACCGCGCGTCCTGCTGATCACTTAGATTCCACCTACACCTGCCTAAATAACCCAGAAAACCACCAGAGGATTAGCAGAACGGAGTCGCCGGGGCCAAGCGCAGACGAGAGGCCCACGGAAGAGGCAAGCGGACTTAGCGGCTGGGAGGTCATAAGTTAACAGCTCTGCTCAGAAAGCGGGAAGGCTGGAGGACAAAGGGAAGGAAAGCTGCTGAGCCCCCGGACGACAGAGCTCAGTTTGGTGGGGAACAAAGGCGCTCGCCAGCGCCATCTTCCCCGCCCATCCCCCAGCCAAAATCCCAAAAAGAACCAGTTCCTGCCAGGGAACTTGCTCGCTCCGCGCAAACACCCAACTCTGCACTTCTGCGGAGCCAAACCTCCGGCAGCGGATCTGACTCCCTGCTGCTGCCACAGGGCCCCTCCTGAAGTGGATCACCTAAGGAGAAGCAAGCTAAGCCTGCCCCTCCTGCCCCTGTGCACCTTGCCTACCCACCCCAGCTAAGACGCCAGATCCCCAGCATCACAAGCCTGGCAGTGTGCAAGTAGCCCAGACAGGCCACCCCACCCCACAGTGAATCCCGCCCCTAGGAGAGGGGAAGAGAAGGCACGCACCAGTCTGACTGTGGCCCCAGCGGTGGGCTGGGGGCAGACATCAGGTCTGACTGCGGCTCCGCCCACCAACTCCAGTTATACACCACAGCACAGCACAGGGGAAGTGCCCTGCAGGTCCTCACCACGCCAGGGACTATCCAAAATGACCAAGCGGAAGAATTCCCCTCAGAAGAATCTCCAGGAAATAACAACAGCTAATGAGCTGATCAAAAAGGATTTAAATAATATAACAGAAAGTGAATTTAGAATAATAGTCATAAAATTAATCGCTGGGCTTGAAAACAGTATAGCTGACAGCAGAGAATCTCTTGCTACAGAGATCAAGGGACTAAGGAACAGTCACGAGGAGCTGAAAAACGCTTTAAATGAAATGCATAACAAAATGGAAACCACCACAGCTCGGATTGAAGAGGCAGAGGAGAGAATAGGTGAACTAGAAGATAAAGTTATGGAAAAAGAGGAAGCTGAGAAAAAGAGAGAGAAAAAAATCCAGGAGTATGAGGGGAAAATTAGAGAACTAAGTGATACACTAAAAAGAAATAATATACGCATAATTGGTATCCCAGAGGAGGAAGAGAGAGGGAAAGGTGCTGAAGGGGTACTTGAAGAAATAATAGCTGAGAACTTCCCTGAAGTGGGGAAGGAAATAGGCATGGAAATCCAAGAGGCACAGAGAACTCCCTTCAGACGTAACTTGAATCGATCTTCTGCACGACATATCATAGTGAAACTGGCAAAATACAAGGATAAAGAGAAAATTCTGAAAGCAGCAAGGGGTAAACGTGCCCTCACATATAAAGGGAGACCTATAAGACTCGTGACTGATCTCTCTTTTGAAACTTGGCAGGCCAGAAAGAGTTGGCACGAGATTTTCAGTGTGCTAGACAGAAAAAATATGCAGCCGAGAATCCTTTATCCAGCAAGCTTGTCATTTAGAATAGAAGGAGAGATAAAGGTCTTCCCAAACAAACAAAAACTGAAGGAATTTGTCACCACTAAACCAGCCCTACAAGAGATCCTAAGGGAGACCCTGTGAGACAAAGTACCAGAGACATCACTACAAGCATAAAACATACAGACATCACAATGACTCTAAACCCATATCTTTCTATAATAACACTGAATGTAAATGGATTAAATGCACCAACCAAAAGACATAGGGTATCAGAATGGATAAAAAAACAAGACCCATCTATTTGCTGTCTACAAGAGACTCATTTTAGACCTGAGGACACCTTTAGATTGAGAGTGAGGGGATGGAGAACTATTTATCATGCTACTGGAAGCCAAAAGAAAGCTGGAGTAGCCATACTTATATCAGACAAACTAGACTTTAAATTAAAGGCTGTAACAAGAGATGAAGAAGGACATTATATAATAGTGACAGGGTCTATCCATCAGGAAGAGCTAACAATTATAAATGTCTATGCGCCGAATACCGGAGCGCCCAAATATATAAAACAATTACTCATAAACACAAGCAACCTTATTGATAAGAATGTGGTAATTGCAGGGGACTTTAACACCCCACTTACAGAAATGGATAGATCATCCAGACACACGGTCAATAAAGAAACAAGGGCCCTGAATGAGACATTGGATCAGATGGACTTGACAGATATATTTAGAACTCTGCATCCCAAAGCAACAGAATATACTTTCTTCTCGAGTGCACATGGAACATTCTCCAAGATAGATCATATACTGGGTCACAAAACAGCCCTTCATAAGTTTACAAGAATTGAAATCATACCATGCATACTTTCAGACCACAATGCTATGAAGCTTGAAATCAACCACAGAAAAAAGTCTGGAAAACCTCCAAAAGCATGGAGGTTAAAGAACATCCTACTAACGAATGAGTGGGTCAACCAGGCAATTCGAGAAGAAATTAAAAAATATATGGAAACAAACGAAAATGAAAATACAACAATCCAAACGCTTTGGGACGCAGCGAAGGCAGTCCTGAGAGGAAAATATATTGCAATCCAGGCCTATCTCAAGAAACAAGAAAAATCACAAATACAAAATCTATCAGCACACCTAAAGGAAATAGAAGCAGAACAGCAAAGGCAGCCTAAACCCAGCAGAAGAAGAGAAATAATAAAGATCAGAGCAGAAATAAACAATATAGAATATAAAAAAACTGTAGAGCATGGGGCGCCTGGGTGGCGCAGTCGGTTAAGCGTCCGACATCAGCCAGGTCACGATCTCGTGGTCCGTGAGTTCGAGCCCCGCGTCGGGCTCTGGGCTGATGGCTCAGAGCCTGGAGCCTGTTTCCGATTCTGTGTCTCCCTCTCTCTCCGCCCCTCCCCCGTTCATGCTCTGTCTCTCTCTATCCCAAAAATAAATAAACGTTGAAAAAAAAATTAAAAAAAAAAACAACAACTGTAGAGCAGATCAACGAAACCAAGAGTTAGTTTTTTGAAAAATAAACAAAATTGACAAACCTCTAGCCAGGCTTCTCAAAAAGAAAAGGGAGATGACCCAAATAGATAAAATCATGAGTGAAAATGGAATTATTACAACCAATCCCTCAGAGATACAAACAATTATCAGGGAATACTATGAAAAATTATATGGCAACAAATTGGACAACCTGGAAGAAATGGACAAATTCCTAAACACCCACACTCTTCCAAAACTCAATCAGGAGGAAATAGAAAGCTTGAACAGACCCATAACCAGCAAAGAAATTGAATCGGTTATCAAAAATCTCCCAACAAACAAGAGTCCAGGACCAGATGGCTTCCCAGGGGAGTTCTACCAGACGTTTAAAGCAGAGATAATACCTATCCTTCCCAAGCTATTCCAAGAAATAGAAAGGGAAAGAAAACTT